TATTTATTTATTTATTTGACAGAGCACAAGCAGGGAGAGCGGCAGGCAGAGGGAGAGGGAGAAGCAGACTCCCCGCTGAGCAGAGAGCCTGACGCGGACTCGATCCCAGGATCCTGGGATCAGGGCCTGTGCCAAAGGCAGATGCTAAACCAGCTGAGCCACCTAGGCGCCCCACCTTTATTTTCTTCTAATATTTTTCAGTCTCCCCATCTCTGCCCCTGTCCACCCCTTTTAAAATTTTTGATCTATTTGGAGTTTATCCTGGTATATAGTCTTGAGGTATGAATCCAACTTTTTTTTTTTTAAGATTTTATTTTTAAGTAATCTTTACACCCAGTGTGGGGCTTGAACTCACAACCCTGAGATCAAAAGTCACATGCCCCTCTGACTGAGCCAGCCAGGCACCCCCCAACTTTTATTCTTATCCAAGTGAACACTATACTGTTTCAGTGATTTAAGCATTATAGTTTGTTATATTTGGTTGGGCTAGTCTCTGAGTTTTGTTAATTTTTTTCCTAACTATTCTTGTTTATTTTTTTCATATGAACTTTAGAATTAACTTAGTTCGGCGGGGAGCAAAACCCCAAAACATGTTGTTTCAGTTGGTACTTAGGGACCTGTTAAATTTGTGAATAAACTTAGTAATTTCCTGTTGGTTCCTTGAAGGTTCTATTCAGTGTTAGGTACTTTATTCTTATTTATTTTTTTTAGAATTTATTTTTAAAGATTTTATTTATTTATTTGACAGAGAGCACAGGTGGGGGAAGCAGCAGAGGGAGAGGGAGAAGCAGGCTCCCCATGCGCAGAGACCCTGATGTGGGGCTGAGTCCCAGCACCTTGGGATGATGACCTGAGCCGAAAGCAGACACTTAACCGACTGAGCCACCCAGGCACCTCAGTGTTAGTTACTTTAATGACAGGGCAGGAGAAGGAACCGATAATCTATATAAATTGGTAATTGACAGAATAATTTTCTTGTCATTTTTTATACTTTCTATGATGCAGCTTTATTATTTAATGTTTTTGAGAAGGAAAGCCTGCTGTGAGGATAGGAAGAAATACATTAACATAAGACTTCAGCTAAAATTAAGTAGCCATTGCCAATTTTGTGTATTTGTTGTATTAGGTGAAAGTTTTATTTGTGAGAAACTTGGCTACTACAGTGACAGAAGAAATACTGGAAAAGTCATTTTCTGAATTTGGAAAACTTGAGCGAGTGAAGAAGTTGAAAGATTATGCATTTGTTCATTTTGAAGACAGAGGAGCAGCTGTTAAGGTAGAGATTTTGAAATTTTGCTTCTTGATATTTGAATTTTGTTGTTGAAACTCGCTAAACACATAAAATGACCTTAAAAACTGAAATAAAATTGGTTTTCAGCTTTTCCCGAACTCTGGAACTTTCTTTTAATAATCTGTGAAGTGGTAGTAGTGTAACAGGTAAGATTTCATATTTCAAAGCCTGATTATTACTAACTGGGTTTGTGATTTCAGGCAAGTTATTTTTAATCTCTATTGTTTTTGTAAGCCTAAGATTTGATAGCATGATGCCCTGGAAATATTACAAGGTATAGTAATTAGCTGCTGTAAATGGTAAAGAGGTAATGAATCGTATTGTAACTACTTTGTTTACCTTAGTTTGTGGACCTGTGAAAGACCCAGAGTAGTGTACGTGACTTTACACACAGCACAGCATATTGAATTCAGCAGATGGGTTCTGAGAGAGTGGTTAGTCCTTCATAGATTTGCCTTTCTTCAGTCATTGCAGAATTGTAATAGTATTAACTGTGTTGCTGGTTTCAGTAGTTGTTAGAGATATATATTTCTTGCATATAATAGTCGATTTGATGATAGTAACAAAAAGTGTGAAAAAAGTATTTTCATGTGGTGGCTAGAGGGTAAAACCTGAATACCTGTGCTCTTTTCTGCTGATAATGGATCAGCAGCATCTTTTATGGGTAAAATTTGTAGTTTCTTTTTCCTCTTACCTTTCCCAGTGGGGGAGAGAAGACAAAATACTAACAAAAGTTTTTTATTTGGGGAGGTAGGTTCAAAATCCTCAGTGACTCAGGCCTGGTCCTTTTTCTGCATCGTCTGTTGAAGTGGTGACCCCTCTAATTCAAGCAGTTTTCTGTTTCCTGCCCAGGATATTTGCTTTAAACTGTGCCTCATAGAATCTTTGGACTAGTTAGAATTTATTGGTTTGCTTTTTGATGAAAGCCAATTAGTGAGACAGCATTGCTTATGAGACTGACGCGCTGCCCACTGCGCTAAGAAGGCACCTGAGACAACATTGCTTAAAAAATTCACAGCTTAGTGCAGAATTTAATGCTTGGTTTCTGAAATTGCCAGTGGTATGAAATACGGATAACTAATTGATACCTTCTAAATACTTTTCATTCAGTTGTTATTAAATAACTGGTTGTCTCTAACTGAAAAGTATAAAAACTGGTAGGGTGGTTTGCCAAAGAAGTCTCTGAAATTACAAAATAAGTCAGCAACTGGGAAGCTTCTGTGGACTTACTTAGTTGCTTTAGGTGAAGTAGCCAAAAGCTAATGTGGTAAAGGGGAGCAGTTAGCATGTAGAAGGGGACTGATTTAATCTTTGTCTAGATGCTTGTAAATCTCTGAATGTTCTTCATGGATAGAGCATTTTATTCTGTTTGTCCGGAGAGAAAAAGATTTATGTAGGGAAGCAGAAATGCTGTGGCAAGGAGGTGTGATATTTTGTTGCTGGGTTACTTGAACTTGGATGTATGGCAGAGGCTGTTAGGTGGAACAACATAGATAAGGGACTAGAGCATAGGATGCTTTTGATTACTGCTTTCCAGGTGAATACTCAAGTCTTCATTAGTCCACGTCTGTTCTGGGCTCTGCTCTTAACTGTTCAGGTGAAGTATGTTTAGGTGAAGTGTTGTGGAGGAAACCTAGGCATTTTTTGGTTCTTGTTCAGTTTCACTGATAACCTCATTCAGTAACTTCATTTGTCTTTCAGATCTTTAAGATTTTTATGGAAGAGCAGTTTCAGATTTACATGTTGAACGTCATGTTTTTATTTTAAAATTTGAGTCCTGAAAAGTTTGTGTTAATTACGGCACTTTTCCCAGATGGGGATTTGCTTGTTTGGTATGGCTCAACCTAGAGAGGTTAGTTATTCAGGATTTAGGAGCAGTGATAGGCAGCTCTGGAAGCCCTTTTATTTTTTTTAAATGTAAGAGTAGGACATCAGTTTTGTTTTCAATATAATTTACATGTAAGAAGGTAAGATTGAGGGAAATAAGTACTTTGTATTTATTTCTTCGTGGCTAGATTCTTTTGCCAATTAAAATAGTTGTGAAGTAAATTTTTTATTAATTGGCACAGGTATGTCTATGTAATTATGTTTTAAAGTATTAATTTTTACTTGCAAAATAAATTTATTTTTGTAATTTTGTATAGGCCATGGATGAAATGAATGGCAAGGAAATAGAAGGGGAAGAAATTGAAATAGTCTTAGCCAAGCCACCAGACAAGAAAAGGAAAGAGCGCCAAGCTGCTAGACAGGCTTCCAGAAGCACTGCGTGAGTCTACATTTTAGTAAATACATCTGAACAAAGAATAAGTTGGTAATAGAGATCAACTTAATAAAAATTCAGGAATAGTCTTGAAGTAAGCTAATTTGTTTTTTCTTTTCTCCCTTCCTTCCATTGCTAGGTATGAAGATTATTACTATCACCCTCCTCCTCGTATGCCACCTCCAATTAGAGGTCGGGGTCGTGGTGGGGGGAGAGGTGGATATGGCTACCCTCCAGATTACTATGGCTATGAAGATTACTATGATGATTACTATGGTTATGATTATCACGACTATCGTGGAGGCTATGAAGATCCCTACTACGGCTATGATGATGGCTATGCAGTAAGAGGAAGAGGAGGAGGAAGGGGAGGGCGAGGTGCTCCACCACCACCAAGGGGGCGGGGAGCACCACCTCCAAGAGGTAGAGCTGGCTATTCACAGAGGGGGGCACCTTTGGGACCACCAAGAGGCTCTAGGGGTGGCAGAGGGGGTCCTGCACAACAGCAGAGAGGCCGTGGTTCCCGTGGATCTCGGGGCAATCGTGGGGGCAATGTAGGAGGCAAGAGAAAGGCAGATGGGTACAACCAACCTGATTCCAAGCGCCGTCAGACCAACAACCAACAGAACTGGGGTTCCCAACCCATCGCTCAGCAGCCGCTTCAGCAAGGTGGTGACTATTCTGGTAACTATGGTTACAATAATGACAACCAGGAATTTTATCAGGATACTTATGGGCAACAGTGGAAATAGACAAGTGAGGGCTTGAAAATGATATTGGCAAGATCCGATTGGCTCTAGATCTACATTCTTCAAAAAAAATTGGCTTAACTGTTTCATCTTTTAAGTAGCAATTTGCTGCCATTTGTATTGGGCTGAAGAAATCACTATTGTATATATACTCAAGTCTTTTTATTTTTTTTTTCCTCTTTTCATAAATGCTCTTGGACATTATTGGGCTTGCAGAGTTCCCTTATTCTGGGGGTTACAATGCTTTTATCGTTTCAGGCTTCATTTTAGCTTCAAAAACAAGCTGAGCACACTGTTAAATCATGATTTTGCAGAACCTTTGGTTTTGGACAGTTTCATTTTTTTGGATTTGGGATAGATTACACAGGAGTATGGAGTATGCTGTAAATAAAAATACAAGCTAGTGCTTTGTCTTAGTAGTTTTAAGAAATTAAAGCAAACAAATTTAAGTTTTCTTGTATTGAAAATAACCTATGATTGTATGTTTTGCATTCCTAGAAGTAGGTTAACTGTGTTTTTAAATTGTTATAACTTCACACCTTTTTGAAATCTGCCCTACAAAATTTGTTTGGCTTAAACGTCAAAAGCCGTGACAATTTGTTCTTTGATGTGATTGTATTTCCAATTTCTTGTTCATGTAAGATTTCAATAAAACTAAAAAATCTATTCAAAACATTACCTATTTCAAATTCAATTGTGTCCTAAAACATTATTTTATTCGTAATCCTTTGCAAGGAATATTGTTTTCAAATTATAACTGCCTATGTGAGTGATCAAATTCATGCAAAATTTCTTGTCTATTCCAATATGTATCGTGGCTATCAGACTGAGGATTAGTCTAAATTCTAGTATTTATTCCAAATAGCACTTTATTGATTGGTGTTCTCTCATAGTCTCTTCTGATTTTGAAAATTTATCCTTTATTTTTATAAAAACAGGTTCAAAGGCTTTTGAACATTCTTGCAGGCATTGGATAATTTGCGTTAAATAAAATGGGGTTGGGGAAGCAGACTGCAATTTATTTTTGACCCACATTCTTTCTATAAAGGATAATTTGTTGACTGGAGACCTTATTTGCTGGATAAGTGAATGTATAACAGGAAAAAATGTTAGTACTGTGGCGTCAATTGCACTGCGGACTAAACTTCAGTTGTAGTATACGTGATCGTGACTACCACTTCAGTTACTGGTTTAGGAATATAATTTCCTATTGCTACGTAAGAAGCACTCATGCCTTATAAGAGAGGCTTAAAAATGTCCACTAGTCATACTTCTGACTTTCTGTTAATACTTTTTATTTTTTTACTACCCTCCTGGCTAAAGTTTTTGTTGGCCGGAGTTATAACATCTATTTCCCTGTTTCCTTTAGAAATTCTGAATTATTGTAATGACAGTTTTGTTTGAGAATAAGAGGAACAAAAGAATCCAAACTTTACAGTGCAGAAAAGTCTGGATCACATTCAAATTACCATAAAATTTTCCCTTCCGTTTTACTCCTAGGTGGGTCTAAAATGTTTTTAAATTATAAAAATAAGGCATTTAGGGAATAATTAAAATGGGCACACCATTATTTTGTGTTTTGTTCCTGTTTGGTGTCTTTTATGACAGCAGTAGTAGATCTCAGGATCATAAGCCAGTTAATTCCTTATGAGCGTGCTTAGATCATATTTTGGGTTTCATGGCTTGTCTTTTGATATCAAGTAAGAAAATTAATATTTACTGATGAAAGTCTCTATTTCATTTCTCTTTAAAAATACACTTTATTATATAATAGTTCAGTAAGTTAACAGGCCTTATTAATATTCTTCTTGTGTTTTTGGAAACTCATAAAGGAATTATATATAGTCTGTTGTATAGTAGTTCCAAATTAACATGGGTATCTATTTGGTAAAGCTTAGATCCAGTTGTTTTTCTTATGCCCATGTATGTAAGTAAAGACACCAAACATTCTTTAAATGCTGCTTTTAAACTTTGAAAATACAATTTGTAGTTACTCTAACTATAAGCCTTAATTAGACTTAAATCCTGATTTTTCTTGGAAAGAAGAAAGCATCTACAAGTAAAATTTGATTTGTTTGTATTTCTTTAAAATTAGATGTTACCAGATACAGAGTTAATGGAGAAAATTAGGAATGGGTAAAGAAGTGATTCTGAAAAAGTAACTGATTGTGCTTCCCCTACCCATCCTAAAATATAAACCCTAGCAAAAACATAAGACTAAAACTTGGGTTCCATGTCAAAATCCTTTCCTTTAATTGCAAATAATATTTTACTCTCACCTATTAAAATATGTCTAAGAGATGGCCCTCTAATATTGTTTTATAAGTTTTTTATAGCTATTTTATTTCACAGAAAAACACAACTTTTTGAACATTAAGTCTCACTTTAGAGCTTTCTCCCTTGTTCGTATCTTGTAAACTCTGTAGCAGCATTCAGAGAAAAGAGATTCAGAGCTTAACTTTCACAGAAATAAATCTAAAAGTCTAATACATAAGCCTGAAAAATGTCCATTTAGGATGTCTTTATTTTAGATTTTCGTTAGCTGTTTTATTTTAATGAACTTTTTTTAATGAGTTCTGGGAAATTTCATTTCCTGCTCTTACGCCATCTTTTTTGTTCCCCAACCTAATTCATTTGCTTTTACTTATGAGCCTGCTACAGTAATGTGTGTTGGGAAATATATTTACTTCATATTGAGGCCAACCTCTTCTTTGTAGGTACCCTCCTAAGACTGACCTAAATACACCCCTTTCCCATAATGGAATGCTAATTTTTATTTGATCACTCATTTATAGCAGTTGCTTAAATGTATGTATTTAAATGACGGTGTTTTAATTTTTTAAAAGCAAAAAAGTTCTAATAAGTTGCCAGATTTCTAATAAATCCAAGTTTATTTGATCAATTGATACGGAAATTGAGTTAATATGGTTCTGTAGTTAGTTTTTTTAAGCAAAGAGTTCAGCATAATTGTTTTTCAGTTTTCTTAGTTACTAGGGTTATTCTGCATAAGAAAGCCCAATGCTTTCTGTTAGTAGGCAATTTTTCTCTCATTTGAAATCTGACTTAGGAGGTGAACCCTCTTTTTAAAAAGATCAGCATGCGTCAAAATAAATTCTATTTTAAATTCCAAAAGAAGGGACATAAAATTCCATTCCTAGCATAAAGCCACATAATATTCTGGAAACTCATTACATCATTTGCCTCCTGCCCATTTGGATAATCATACCTACGTTTTATTAATTGTGTATTATTTGTAAAATCCAAAACCCTTCCAGTAAATACTTGCTATAAGGCTATTATTTGTCAATCATAAAGACTTCTACATATGTTAAAATTTGCAGTTTTGATTTTTCCAAAGAGAATTTTGTTACACTGAATTATCTGGTATTCTTAAAACCAACTGAAGTATGTGGAAGAAATGATAATGTTAGTGTTGTCCCTTATTGTGTGGCATCTCTTTTAAGTAAGCAGCTAAGAAAAAGCCTTATAGAAAGAGTGCACTGGATTTATAAGTGTGTTTATGTTTCTCTAAGAATGGGAGCTTCTGTTAACTTAGTTCTCAGTAAGCCCGTGGATTGGGTGACTGATTAGAGAATTCAGAATGACAAATCCACTAACCAGGCATGTTTACTTTTGCACTAGAAGTTTGTGAATTAGTTCTGAATTTTGAAATGCAAACACCAAGCCTTAAAAATACTGCATATTTAATGTATTGGTCGGTAATTAATATAAATACTTAATTTGAAAGAGTTACTGTTAATCTTTCTAGAATAGTTTTTTTCTTTTTAAATATATATACTTACGTATTTTTTATTTAGAGGTTACCAGAAGCTCTGGGTTTTTTGTTTTGTTTTGTTTTTGTTTTTTAACCATTTTCAGATGTTATCCAGAAATCTGCAAGTGTACTTTTCCTGTTTTAACTCCTTCCTTTTATCACCTGACTATCAGGGAAGCGAGGTTGAGGCTGCCCTGACCTGACATGTCATGATGTCGACTTGCTAGGTGGGGTTCGCTGGGGACGATAACCAGTGGAATTGTTGGTAAGAAATTTTTTTTTCCTATTTTTTTTTTTATCAGTAGTGGGACATTAAGTGTGGGAGAATGCCCATATTTTATAAGTGGGCATTTATGTTGGCCTTGTAGACAAGTAAGACTTTAATATTAAATAATTTAGTTCTTAATAGGAACATATAATAACTACTTCATACTTTTTATTCTCAAATTATAGTTAGCAGGAAAGGTCTGCAAGTATGAAGTAATAAAATACTCAGGGTATATTTTAGGTGATCGAAATAGACACTTTACAAGATAGATTCTGAAGTCTTTTAGACAGTAAATTTGCTTTATTTTACTGTGGTTTCAATCCCTCTAACTTCTTTATGTTTGCATTTTTATTGGGTAGATTAGCACATAGTGCATCTTAAGAGACGTTTATTGCACGCTGATAGTAAAAGTAGAAGGTGTTGATAGGATGGAGGATTTAAACACTAGGAGAAATTATTTTTTAAGCCTTCCAAAAAATTTTAACATTGTAAAATGGAACTTAAAAGTTAGAGTAATTTCACAAACAGGAGAGTGCTTGTTTTAAAAATACATTTGATACGACGACTTTGGGTCAAGAGGACGTTACATAGCTAAATATTAGACCTTGAACATAGCAAAACCATAAATCTATAAACAACTTGTGTTTTGTCTGAAACCCAGGAGAGCTGTTGGGATTAGTGGGTATTGGTTGAATTAGTCAATTTTTAGATGATATTTAAAAGATTAAAATCTCTCACAGTAGAGGATTCCATGATAGTAAAGTATAAATCAAGGAAATTTAATAACTAAGCATTTCTGACCATAACATATAAAAAAATAGTTGTAATATGACATAATCACTGATTAAAGGTAGTTACGAATATTCATGCCTGAAGAACCTCCTAAATATTCCTATACCTCCTTTGTAAAGGTTGAATGTATCAGTCTAGGAAGAATCTCTTAGGTGTTAACCGTGCTAGTCAGTATCCTGAAATCTTGTCTGTAAGCTTTGTTGTAGACTACTTGTAAGTCGTTACAATGAAATTATACTTTAAGAATTGCAGTGATTGCATCATTTTGTTGAGGTACTTGTTTCTCTTCTGACACATTCTATGCTATACCAGTGATAGAAAAGATGATAAAGATTGCACTAATAATGTGCTTTTTGGAAAGCTTGATAGTAAGCAGTAGGAACACTCAAGTAATGCTGACGGGTTCATCTTTGCAGCACAAAGTCTGGTTACTGGCTTTGATATACTGACAACAAAATGCATTTCATGGGATCAGGAGAGGAGACATTGTAGGGTGGGGGGACAGCTTAAATTCCTCGAATACAAACAGGGGCTTTCATTTTATGTAGTAACTTTGTCAGGATCCCATGAACATTGCTTTTCTTGATTTCTCATTTATAATGGTTGGGCAAAAGGAACTTCTCTAGCCTGTTCAGTAACATAGGTAGAATTGTACTTTAACAAATCCTACTAAGATCTTTAGTACTATGTTGTAAGGCTATTTCTATGATTGAGCTGAAAGCTCCTGTGAACATTAACATTGCTATATGCATACAGTAATATGAGAATATTAAAGTAGGTACATTTGCAAGACCACTTAATCGGCAGTTTAATAAAAATCGTGCTTTTGGTACAGTGTCCAGGTACCATAACTGTATTG